CGGGCGACGCTCCTTGTGATTCCTCGGAAGCAGCGGGGTTCACTCCGCGTGCCTGCTGGCGCTTCCTTATTCTTTGGAAATAGATCATATTTATTGCTTGTCAAACAATTAATGTTTTCCTGTTACGTGACCTACAGCGAGTTCAGGTTTCGGCAGCTGACGAGGCTGCAGAAGAGGCACCAGAAGGGCTGAGCGGGAGCGTCAGCGCTTCCGCGGTCCGTGCCCGGCGGAGGCAGATACGAGGCGAAGCGGGTCCCCAGCTCGGCGTTCCCCGGCGCTGCTGCGTTCTGGTCTCTCTTTGTTGCCGCCTGGCACCAGCCAGCACCGGCGCGCGAGCGATGACGCTGCCGGGCAGACGTGCTGGGTTTGGCAGCGCCCGTGTTGCGCTGGCTGCCCGTCCATTGCCCTGGCATAGCTGAAACTGGAATTTCCCAGATGCGTCTGTGGAGTCTAGTAGACGGATATTGGATATTTTGCCACTGAAAATGGTGGAGGAGGAGGTCACAAGGGCGATGGGAAGGGCCGTCGTGGTGGCCTGTTGCAGTTCAGCACTGGGAACTTTGCTACTAAGGGTTTCATTTTAGTGTCTTGCATTGATAGTTACTTAGCAGCAGCTGGACTAAGTCACAGCAGATAAGATATTCCTTTTCTTCTGCAAATGCTCCGTGCTCTTCACAGTGTTGGCTGGATCTGTGCAAGAACATACCAGTTGTGGTGGATGTTTCATATTTCTTCTCTTACATGTTTCTAGAACCCTGCTGCTGCCCACAAAGGCCATGGAGAAGAGGCTGGAACCCAAGTTCAGCATTAGCGCCCGATTTCTGTCACGATACTGCCTGGGAAGACCTGCGAGGCAGCTGAGGAGTCTGCAGCTGTTCTACCTGTGCGCTTGCCTGTGTGCCTGGAGCTCCTCAGCAGGTGACTCTTCTGTTCTCTCTGCGACTGCGCCTGTAGTTTTTATGATATTTATCCCTCTCCCTTGTTTAAAGTATTCTGAAGGTGAAATTATTTGCTGCTAGACATTGTAGCTGGTTTAAAAGCCAAACAAAACCCCACCGTTAATATAAATGAGCTGCCAAAAGGGTAGGAGAGATGGGGGGGGGCACTTCTTCCAAGGCTGTGTTGCTCTGATAACCGCTGCTGTTTTGAGTAACCAGGTGATCAGCAGCAGGGCGTCCGTCTGCCCCCAGCTACTGCTGGGCATCTTCACAAGCGGTGCTGGGTTTTCAGGCACTTGCCTATATCTCATAGAGAGCTTTCTCTGAGCTGAGAGTCTTTTTTTTACGAAAGGAACAAGTGATAATCTGGAAAATAATTTCATTTTGGGAATACTCAAAGCAAGTTGGGAAGACCGGAATGTTTTTTTTGCCCTCAAATGTTTAAGTGTCCCCAAACACAGTATGGTAATGATCCGTGTTTGCCTACAGGCAATTATTAGGTTTGGTCTTTTTTTTCCTGTTCAAACTTGAGTAACCAGCCTCCTGCTCAAGTAAATAACCGAGTTAGTGGCTTGTGTGGAAGTTCAGATTCTGACTTTTCAGAGAGACGTGGTAAGTTCCCGTGAGTGTTTTGAGGACACGGCTTCACCAAGAGGTTGCATTTTTCCCACGCGTGCACGTAGC